ACCTAGGGATGCTTCCAGTCAAATATGGTTGAAATCCACTTCTTAGTTCCAGAGAAGAAGTCGCTTAAAGCAGTATAGCCAAATACCCTTTTTTGCCCTGCCCCTCAGCCCCCTGGGGGGTCAGCCCCACCATTTGTACAATTTTTAATCACCACCACCTAGGGATGCTTCCAGTCAAATATGGTTGATATCCACTTCTTAGTTCCAGAGAAGAAGTCGCTTAAAGCAATATGAGCAAATTGACCCCTTTTGACCCACCCCTCAGCCCCCTGGGGACGGACGCCACGGTATGGCATAAGCTCACCTTGGTCCTTCGGACCAGGTGAGCTAACAAGAATTGTTTAAGGATGGACGGCGGACGCAGGGTGATTTGAATAGCCCACCATCTGATGGTGGGCTTAAAATTGTTTAACCAGGTTTTCACTTTTACTTTCTCCTAGGAATCATAGTGATTTAACCAAATCCTGCTGATGGAAGTACATGTATTCCTACTAAATATATATGAAGCAAAGAATGTTGAATATGAAATTACTGTGACAACAAGAGATTCTGTAGTACCTCTTTATTTGAATTATATTATTAAATTTTACCAGTTGATATCTTTGTCTTCCTTGACTTTGGTCTAATGACAGATCTTTTAGACAAGCTCCTTTCACACAATACCTTCACATGTTTTCTGATTTTAACAGCATTAAGTCAGACAAGATTCTGTAATCATGACCTTCACAGAACACCTAACCTTGGAATCTTGGAATAATCAGTTTTTTCTCCTCTGACCTTGACTGGACTTTAAATGTTGACCTTGATGTACCTTTGAATGTTGACCTTGACCTTACCTCCGCATCCTCCTCTGAAGCATCCTCAGACAAGACCTCCTGAGGATTGGCCAGACTGTTACCCAGCTGTTTCGGTGGATTGAACAGAGCAGTGTTGAGGGGTAGGTACTTGAGCTCCTCTGTTGAATGACTGTCATGAGAAATTAACATGTACCATTGGTCTGTTTTTATTTTCTCCTGAAAGTTTAATCTCTCAACTTGTGTTTACATTGAAAAATAGCTTGATGACCACCCCCTCCAGTTTAAAAAAAAACCATGCAGTTATTCAACATAAATTGGTCAATAACTTATCAATATGAACAACTTAAAAATTACGCTATATACATTGTATGAGTGACCTACCTTTTGTAGTAATCCTGGTACTGGCCCGGAATCAGTGTAACAGGGTATGGAGTGGGTGATGTCAACTCTGTGGGAAGCACCTTAAACCGACCAGCTGGATAGTGTACATTCTGAAAGAAAATTCCTTTAATGTTCTGAAACAAGTACTGAGAGAGACTAAATATGTGATAAAACAAGTCACCAAACTCACTGTACAGTGGAAGCAGAACAGAAATAGTTATACACATGAGTTTGAAAATTCCATATCAGACCCCATTTCTTGAGTCCGAGGGTTTATATGAATCATGGGTTGAATACAGTAGCAAATTAGCAATATTGTCATATCATAACCTATTACATATACTACACACTATCAATAGTTATTGGTAAAGTCAAACTAGTTATCATTAACTTATAAAATCATACCAAACTTATATATTCATTTGCCATTTATATAAAACAACTCGGTAACAGTTGAACCAGAAGTAGAACAGGTTAGGCATGTAAGGGGCAGATATATGCTTGCTGTGTAGATGTGGAGCCTGCTGGGGAGATGTGGCAAATGCCAGGCAGATATTGATTGGCATGAATGTGCGGAAATATAATTTATGCACAGCCAACAGTATTTCTTATTCAAAACGGCTCATACCACAGACAAGATGCTGATTAAGTTATGTTACTAACAAAAGTCTGAAGATCAAAATAGGCTCTGCGTTCCTCTTTCCTCTCCCGGAGGAAGCTCGTGTTCCATTCTGAGGCAGACTTCATTGCTTTCTGAATGTACTCTGTCATTTTACTCTTTTCTAGCTTGGGCTAAAACAAAAATAATGATTGAACACATTATCTTTTATCAATTTTAAGAAATCAATTCTTATAGTTGAAATTTCGTGTCAATTATTTATAGCATGCACTGGTAATTACAAATATTTTACCGTTTTGGTGACATTGTAATTTTTGTGACATTATGATTATTTTGAAGATAGTATGATGGGTTTGATGACATTATGATAGATTCCATAATAATGTGATGACTTTGTGATGGTGTTCGGGTATCTGTGACTGTTCTGATGACACAGTGATTTCTTTACGACTTTGTGATGGTGTTCGGGTATCTGTGACTGTTCTGATGACACAGTGATTTCTTTACGACTTTGTGATGGTGTTCAGGTATCTGTGACTGTTCTGATGACACAGTGATTTCTTTACGACTTTGTGATGGTGTTCAGGTATCTGTGACTGTTCTGATGACACAGTGATTTCTTTACGACTTTGTGATGGTGTTCAGGTATCTGTGACTGTTCTGATGACACAGTGATTTCTTTACGACTTTGTGATGGTGTTCAGGTATCTGTGACTGTTCTGATGACACAGTGATTTCTTTACGACTTTGTGATGGTGTTCAGGTATCTGTGACTGTTCTGATGACACAGTGATTTCTTTACGACTTTGTGATGGTGTTCAGGTATCTGTGACTGTTCTGATGACACAGTGATTTCTTTACGACTTTGTGATGGTGTTCAGGTATCTGTGACTGTTCTGATGACACAGTGATTTCTTTACGACTTTGTGATGGTGTTCAGGTATCTGTGACTGTTCTGATGACACAGTGATTTCTTTACGACTTTGTGATGGTGTTCAGGTATCTGTGACTGTTCTGATGACACAGTGATTTCTTTACGACTTTGTGATGGTGTTCAGGTATCTGTGACTGTTCTGATGACACAGTGATTTCTTTACGACTTTGTGATGGTGTTCAGGTATCTGTGACTGTTCTGATGACACAGTGATTTCTTTACGACTTTGTGATGGTGTTCAGGTATCTGTGACTGTTCTGATGACACAGTGATTTCTTTACGACTTTGTGATGGTGTTCAGGTATCTGTGACTGTTCTGATGACACAGTGATTTCTTTACGACTTTGTGATGGTGTTCAGGTATCTGTGACTGTTCTGATGACACAGTGATTTCTTTACAACATTGTAATGGTTTTGATGACGTTATTGTTTTGATTTTGACAATATAATGGTTTAGACGCCATAAGGATTATTTTAACAGGTTGTATGACACTATAATTATGACATTATAACAGGTTGTATGACACTATAATTATGACATTATAACAGGTTGTAGGACACTATAATTATGACATTATAACAGGTTGTATGACAATATAATTATGACATCATAACAGGTTGTAGGACACTATAATTATGACCTTTTTTAACAGGTTGTAGGACAATATAATTGCTCTGATGACATTGTGGATGTTTGTATAACATTGTGAGGATGATTTGATAATGTCTGCACTGATGCTATCCTTACCACTTCGTAGTCTTTGTGTTTCTCCTTAATGGTCTGTCTCTCTCGCTCATGTAGCACAGCAGCGTATTCCTGTAGTTATAAAGTCAAATAGTTTGGATTCCAACAACAATAAAGATTTAACATTATGGAGAGAATTACATGTTAATGACCTCTTGTAAATTACAAATGGACAATTACTAAGTCACTCCCACAAGTAAGATTTATTGCATTTCAATGTTCATACAGCATCAAATACTCATGAACAAGTTTTTTCCAAATGATTTTCAATTATTTTGGAGATTCTGCTATCATTCTTACATTCTGTAAAAGACAACGTACATGCCCTAGACATTTGTTAGGTTGACTTATACACTGAAACTATATTTGTATTCTATTTACAGGAACAATGAACTTGACCACAAATGACATTCCTATTTAAAACCAATGTGAATGGAGCATGATTTTCTACAACCTTAGAACTAACAGACAAGAGGCACAGAGGGCCTGTATCGCTCACCTGAATATTTAAGCAGCCATAGCAAAATATTCTCATTAAATAGTATGCTGTACTACAAATATTTCACTCGAAAACTTTGTCAGCTCCATCTGTTGTACCTACCAGCCAAGTATTATTATATGATTCTATGCTTTTTTGTTCTTCTCCAGAAGTTGTTTGAAGTGTTTGACATATTCCCTGTGACCTTGCAAGTAGGTCAAAGTCGTTTTCTTTCTCAAACTTTGTCATGCTCTATCCCAGGAAGCCACCAGCCAATTATGAAGATTCTATACCTTTTGGTACTTCAGGAGAAGTTGTTTGAAGTGTTTAATACATTTGTCCACTGTGACCTTGAAAGTAGGTCAACGTCATTTTCATTCTCAAACTTTGTCTGGCTCTTTCCCAGGAAGCCACCAGCCAAATATTAAGATTCTATACCTTTCATTTTCTCAGAAGAACTTGCTTGAAGTGTTTGAGATATTTGACCCCTAAAACCTTGAAGGTAGGTCAAGGTCATTTTCATTCTCAAACTTTGTCAGGCTCTATCCCAGGAAGCCACCAGCCAATTATGAAGATTCTATACCTTTTGGTACTTCAGGAGAAGTTGTTTGAAGTGTTTGATACATTTGACCGCTGTGACCTTGAAAGTAGGTCAACGTCATTTTCATTCTCAAACTTAGTTAGTCTCCTACCAACAAAGCTTTCAGCCAAACATCATGACTCTAGGCCTGTTGGAAGTTGATGAAAGGAAAAGTTGATGGACGATGACGGACGGACAGATGTGCACCTGACGGACGACAGACGCTGCATCATGACTTAAAATTTTACAAAATTTTATTTCTAGAATTGGTCTGACCTTGACCTTTGGAGATCTGTAAAAATATTGTACATGTACTACTCTAGAGGCTTACCCCTTGCCTAATATACTCAGCAAAATAAGTTAAGTGTCATATATTTCAAACAAAAACAAAAATGACTGAAAGTTTATTTATTTGTTATTTCATTAATATCAATAAATATTTGACTTATTTCTAAGTGCAATATTGCACTAAATTCAATATGCAGCAGATTAATCAATAACAACATGTCCTTACCCCAAAGGTTTCAGATTTCAAAGTGAAGTTCTGCAGCGTCTATTGAAGCTGCGGATAATTCTATGAATGGTCATTTGTGGCCCATTCGCCCATTCCTCAAGAAGTGCAAGTTCGAGTTCGATAAAAGTTGAAGGAAAAATATTTCGCTTTTGAATTTGTCTTTGAAGAACCTACCATATATGTTCTATGGGATTCAAGTCGAGAGATACAGCAGGCCAATCCATTCGGTCAATTGTTTCAGTTTCAAGATATTGCTGCACTATCCTTGCACGATGGGGACGTGCATTATCATCCATCAGGGCAAAGTTGGGGCCAATTGCACCAGCATGTGGATGAACAATAGAATGAAGGATCTTGTCTCTGTATCGCTGACCAGTCAACGTTCCATTTCTGATGACGTACAAGTCTGTTTTACCGTCGATAGATATGCCTCCCCATACCATTAATGAACCACTTTCAAATCGATTGTGTTCTGTAACACAACAGTCACGACATTGCTCATTTTTCTCTCTCCACACGCGTCTCCTTCCATCGTTAAAATCTACACAGAATTTAGACTCATCAGGAAAGAGAACTGGACGAAGATGACGCAATTGCCAGTTAACATGGTTTCTGCAACAACCTGGTCTAGCGGTCCTGTGTCGTAGGGTCAAAATTGGGCCGACGGCGGGTCTGCAAGCATGAAGGTTCGCTTGATGTAATCTCTTTCGGTAGGTTTCAGTTGATATCCGCATCCTTAGATGATTTCTGAAGTTGGTACTCAGCTCTACAGCAAAAGGAAACCTATTCCTCTTGGCTTGAAGAACAAATGTGCAGTCCTGAAGGGCTGTCATACCTAACACTTCTTGGTCTCTGGCAGACAGAACCACTTGCCTGGAAGCGTTGCAACAATCTTCCAATAACGCTTTGTCTGACATTAAAATTTCGGCCCACATCTTGCTGAGTCATGCAAGCTTGAAGCATTCGTATGGCACTACCGGCCTGCTGTACGCTCAAGTGCCGCCTTTGGGGCATATCGTCAAATATAGTCCTAATTCAATGACGATATTCAATAACTGCTAAATTAGAGAGATTCACCTCATTTACCAATGGTTTCTGATGATCATCGTATCCAGGTTTCACTCTATATTGTCGGTTAGGTATACAAAGCCAGGTGCGCTGACTGCTTGTTGTGCCCCAGATACAATGTTGCATGTGCACATTATGGTGAATGCAGTAATTTTTAAAACGGATAGCAGAAAATTAATCTCGACAAAATTTTTGATAATTTTCTTCAATCTTAACACATGACCCTTAACTTTTTTTGCTGAGTATATATATGAAACACAAAAGACATGTGTGCCTTTAGTCTGCTATTTTGTCTGAGTTCTATACTGCTGTACCTTAACTATCAGTACTTACAGCATACTTATCTGGGTAGTCTCTGTATCAATACTTACAGCATACTTATCGAGGTAGTCTCTGTGTATCAATACTTACAGCATACTTATCTGGGTAGTCTCAGTATCAATACTTACAGCATACTCATCTGGGTATAGGCTCTGTATCAATACTTACCGCATACTTATCTGGGAAGTCTCTGTGTATCAATACGTACAGCATACTTATCTGGGGAGTCTGTGTGTATCAGTACTTACAGCATACTCTATACTGCTGTACCTTAACTATCAGTACCTACAGCATACTTATCCGGGTAGTCTCTGTGTCTCAATACTTACAGCATCCTTATCTGGGTAGTCTCAGTATCAATACTTACAGCATACTTATCTGGGTATAGTCTCTGTATCAATACTTACAGCATACTTATCTGGGTAGTCTCAGTATCAATACTTACAGCGTACTTATCTGGGTAGTCTATGTGCATCAATACTTACAGCATTCTTATCTGGGTAGTCTCTGTGTATCAATAGTTACAGCATACTTATCTGGGAAGTCTCTGTGTATCAATAATTACAGCATACTTATCTGGGTGGTCTCTGTGTATCAATAGTTACAGCATACTTATCTGGGGAGTCTCAGGATCAATACTGACAGCATACTTATCTTGGTAGTCTCTGTATCAAAACTTACAGCATACTTATCTGGGTGGTCTCTGTGTATCAATAATTACAGCATACTTATCTGGGAAGTATCTGTGTATCAATACTTACAGCATACTTATCTGGGTAGTCTCTGTGCATCAGGTCATACACCTCGTCACTGCGAATGGCTGTTAATCCTGAAACACATCAAACAAAACATGGCAGAGGCCATCAAACCTGCAATTCTCAAATGACTTTTGTAACCACAGATCTATATAACATAGTGACAGACACCTCAGAAGACACATATCCAGGGCATTTAATCCTCCCTCCCAGGGGCTTCGTAGCACTGTACATGGTCTAACACTCATATGCTTCACTGTGAAGAAACCTACTAAGTTCATGTCAAATAAAAGCAGCAGTCAGGATATTTTGCCATTCAAATAAACTCCAGATCTAACCATTGATCACAATCAAATCTGTGTAGTTGATCAATCTGAAAATAATTTCCAGGACTCAAGATTTATTTTCAATTTTCATTTCATGTGGTTCTTTATTTTTGTCCCTCAGAGTTGAGATAAACATGTTATGTATCAGTGTTTAAGACTGTATTTTTCGTTTTTTTGTTTCAATGCCTGTTATTTTGACACAAAAGCTTTACAGAAGAGTGAAAATCATTTGCTGAGATTGCTGTAAACACTCAGTCATTTTAACAACTAAAGAATGTAAGACAAATCTGTCCTTATGACTATATAGAATTACAATTAAAGCTACATTTTGCTTATATACAACTGTCTCCATGTGATCCTGGCTGTAACAAGGGCCTTAAACCCAAATAAAATTTGAAAAAGTTTATGTTTTTCCAGTGGCATTCATACTCCTTATAAATGGCAAATGAAAGCAGTTTGATGCTCAATGTGTGCCATGTGGTGTGACAGTCAGCCTTTTATATGTATCACAGATTTATTTCATGTTTATTGAAATATACATGTGGACATGTATTTTATTGAGGAACATGATGTTTAACTCAATAATATAATTGACATTTTAAAATGCTGCTGGACTCCTTTTCCTGCAGTATGTAAGTCAGGTAAATGGTACAGGTGTGTACTGTACTGACGTCAGGTAAGTGGTACAGGTGTGCACTGTACTGACTATACATAAGTGGTACAGGTGTGTACTGTACTGACGTCCGGTAAGTTGTACAGGTGTGTACTGTACTGACGTCAGGTAAGTGATATAGGTGTGTACTGTACTGTCGTCAGGGAAGTGGTACAGGTGTGTACTGTACTGACATCAGGTAAGTGGTACAGGTGTGTACTGTACTGTCGTCCGGACCGTAACAATCGGTTGCTGAGGTCAACCATTTGGCTTCAATCAATTGAGGTGAAAACTAGCAACTATAACAAAATCAATATATACTCTTTACTTTTCTATGAAATTTTAAACAGGGAGACAATTTTATTTCATACCAGTAAGTAAACAGAAATTAAAATTTAGAATTAAAAAAAAACCATAAAAAATTCATTTCATTGTTTTTATTTCTAAATTTTGTTTATGAAAATGTATAATGGTCCATTAATTTGATATCTAGTTTATAATGTAGTCATAATTTTCTTGTCTTAATTTCAAAGGCATCAGATAACACATGCTATGTCTACTGCAAATTACAGTGTATTACTAGCACATTTTACTGTACAATCTATCAATAAAACATTTGGTCGTTAAAATTTATAATAGTATATCATACATTTCACTGATAAAAAACAATTTCCCAGCTAAAAACTGAGGTGTTGATTACATGTGGAACACAAAGAAGTTCACAGATCATAAACCGAGGTCTGGGTTACCAGTGGAACATAAAGAGGTTCCCAAATTATTTACAGATGTTGGTTACCTGTGGAACATAACTGGTGTCCAGGTTATAAACTGATGTGTGGGATACCAGTGGAACATAACTGGTTTCCAGGTTATAAACTGATATCTGGGTTACCGGTGGAACATAACTGGTGTCCAGGATATAAACTGATGTGTGTGATACCAGTGGAACATAAAGAGGTTCCCAAATTATTTACAGATGTTGGTTACCTGTGGAACATAACTGGTCTCCAGGTTATAAACTGATCTCTGGGTTCCCAGTGGAACATAACTTGCTTCCAGGTTATAAACTGATATCTGGGTTACCAGTGGAACATAACTGGATTCCAGGTTATAAAACTGATGTCTTGAATTGGTTACCAGTGAAATAGAGAGGTTCCTCTTTGACTGACTGTTATTTTTATATCCCTCAACTTTTTAAAGTCACAAAAGATACAAGTTTTACAGATATGGTAACTACTCCCAGTTAGGTGAGAATCTGTGTATAACATTATTTGTTTTATTTCAACAATACTTGCTGACATCAATGATCTTTGGCTATTTCAGCACACAGTAAAACAATATAATTAGTATAATCAATATAATAAGAAGAATATTTCTTTATGAAAACAAATTTACTATTGGTATAAAATACTAAAATAACGTATATAGCATTGGTTTTAAACTGTTTGTTGTGAGGAACTCATTATTTCATGCAGTGTCTCCTGTTTGTATTTTGTATCTGAACTAACCAATGAAAAGCCTTAAAGATGTTTACACACTGCATTGTGTAAATAATCCTGATATATCACTCCTATTATATTTTATTTATTGTTAAGTGATGAAACACAAATAGTTAAAAGTATTTATAAACACTTATAACAATTACAGTTCCAGCAATTACCAGGCCAATTAATGTATTTGTACAGCTAAAATCGTGTGACTGTAGGCACATGTATGGAACTAAGGTGGTGCTGTTAGTTGTGAAAAGATGAGCGGAGATTACTAAAAGCGCTATGTTAACCTATCACATAACAAGATAAAACCCGATCACAGCCTCCCCTCCTGAGCTTTGATAGTGATTAGTACTTAAGTGATGAGTCGAGCGTTGGGTAAGGTGTTGGGTAACCTGAGTGGCGTACCTATAGAGGTGTTAATAATTGGACCCAGATTAAGGTCTTGTTCAATTCACATAAAAATCTTTGGTGTAAAATTTGGACTGCAGTGATGAAGGTCTGTTCTTGACACTACCGGTATTCATATACCTATTGTGTTACCCGATGCCCTAAATAGGATTACCCATCAGCATCATCAGCAGGTGACTAATAGTTTAGGTAACCCAGTATGTCACTAGTCATTTCTGTCCTGTAGTGACACTATTTACCTGCACACAGCAGCACAAATGTAAATCTAGCCAACTCATTAACAAGTAACGGGTAGTAAGCCCTCTTCTAAATTGATTTTCGTATCACGATACAACAAACTAATTGATTTGATACACCGAAATAAACAAAGACACATCATTAAAGTCAGATAAAGGTAGAGTACTGTAATACATCTGCTTCTCAGTAGGATGCTAGAATACGACAAAGCATACCCCTAATATGCTTAATGAGGTTGGGTAATCTTACTACATATAAGTACATGTATATAATACTTTATTAAAACTTCTTCCTCTTTTCATCTGATCCTTAGACCCATGAGATTCAGCCCCTTTATTTGTATGCCTTTTGATCCCTATAGGCTAAAGATGCTGTCAGTAATATTTGTTTGAAATCTGCCCTGTAATTTGGAAATAAATGTTATTTAAAACAAATCAGCCAGTTTAAACATTTTTTATCCAGACCTTTAGCCCCCCAAGGGTTAATAATATAAGCAGACTACTACATGTACTACAATTTAGTTGTACTATTGGACTTTGCCTCAACAGTTTGGGAGGAGATGTATTTTATTCATAAATTTCAAAAGAATTTTATATTCATTTATGTTCTTTTTATAATTGTCTTAATCCTTTCTTTGAATGGTTGTTGTCCTGACATTTTTTTCACATATATACTGTCTGCCTGTTACATTTCCTAGTGTTGTAGACAAGAAATTGGATCTGTTTGTATTATGGTATTACCCATAAAACTGTTGTTTGGCATTTTGGAAAAGTCAGTTCATTTCAAGATATATCTTATACAGTGAATTCTGACTTAACCAACATCAGGATGGACAGTAGTCTTTAGTAGAACAATATGTAAGTTAAGTCAGGTTTAAATAGGGTTAAATCTGTCATCTGGTTATAGCCGTCTGTCATTACATGTGTCGATTCATAGCCCATCTGTCATTACGCATGTTGGTTCATAGCACATCAGTCATTACACGTGTTGGTACATAGCACGTCTGTCATTACACGTGTTGGTAGCACATCAGTCACTACACGTGTCGGTAGCACATCAGTCACTACACGTGTCAGAACATAGTACATCAGTCATTACACGTGTTGGTACATAGTACATCAGTCATAACACGTGTCGGTACATAGTACATCATCTGTCATTACGCATGTTGGTTCATAGCACATCAGTCATTACACGTTTTGGTACATAGCACATCTGCCATTACACGTGTAGGTACATAGTACATCAGTCATTACACCTGTCGGTACATAGTACATCAGTCATTACACGTGTCAGTACAAAACACATAAGTCATTACAATTGTTGGTACATAGCACATCAGTCACTACACGTGTCAGTACATAGTACATCAGTCATTACACGTGTCGGTACATAGTACATAAGTCATTACACGTGTTGGTACATAGTACATCAGTCATTACACGTGTTGGTACAAAACACATCAGTCATTACAAGTGATGGTACATAGCACATCAGTCACTACACGTGTCAGTACATAGCACATCAGTCATTACACGTGTCGGTACATAGTACATAAGTCATTACACGTGTTGGTACATAGTACATCAGTCATTACACGTGTCGGTAAAAAACACATCAGTCATTACACGTGTCTGTACATAGCACATCAGTCACTACACGTGTCAGTACAAAACACATCAGTCATTACAAGTGTTGGTACATAGCACATCAGTCAGTAAACGTGTCAGTACAAAACACATCAGTCATTACAAGTGTTGGTACATAGCACATCAGTCATTACACGTGTCGGTACATAGCACATCAGTCATTACATGTGTCGGTACAAAACACATTAGTCATTACAAGTGTCAATACATAGCACAGCTGTCATTACACATGTTGGTACATAGCACATCAGTCATTACACGTGTTGGTACATAGCACATCTGCCATTACACGTGTCGGTACATAGTACA